GTTTCCGTTTCGGGAAGACCCATGGTGATGAGCAAAAAGTTGGATATCTTGACGACTTGTCAATATAGTGTGACGTTTCGCCATTTCTATGCTCTGAGCAATTGTATTTTGATTCCAATATTTCCTTAAATATACAGCTGAGAAAAGTCTTAATAAATTATATCCATGATGTCAATGTATAGCGAAAGTGATTTACATGTAAATCCTAATTGTGTAAAGCTATCTGTTTAACAATAAATCCTGAAATAAAATAAAAAGCATTGATTTTCCTACGTTTTGAAATTCCTCATTACCCTTTTTTAAATCCATCACACCTCTTATCCGATCACGTCTAAATGTGGCAAAGAAAACTTCGTATAGCTGATCTTATCTGACAATCGAAAGAGCCACTAAATTATTGAAATTTCATTTGGCTAAATTTCATCAGTGTAGGGTTGTTGGTTTTAATCAATTTGATTACTAGACCGACCGGGAAATCATTTTCTGGTGATTATATTGTTACACCTAATAAGGTCAATATGTTGATAAATTAAATGCAAAATACAGTGTTCTTTCTTTAATAAAGAGATTAGCACCCACGGAACAAACAAAACCGTATTAAAGGTTACTTGACATTATGACATTTGTGTTCCCAACTGAGTCTTCGCGCTTTGATTTTGCCACATACTCCCCATAGTTAGGTTAAATCAAAAGATTGTTCGTTAAAATATACAGTGCGTCCGAAAAACGCAACAAAAACATTGTAAAATCACAAAACCAGTGATGATTACATCATATTGATTTAGTTAATCAGGAAGCCGCATATCTCCTCTTTCCAATGGTATGTCAATTATTCATATACGAACACAGACCACTGAATAATCATTCCTTTTGCACAACGGGCCAAAATCTGCTGTGGACAAGTTTTAGACATTGCAACAGTTAACAAAGAGTCACCAATGAGGTTAACGTTGCTGCTCTCTGCCAGAACCCATACAAATGATTCAAAGGGATGTGCGACGTGGAGACACAAGCCAGTCTATGTGTGTAGAGAAATAGTGGTCATGTGAAAGGGCATGGAATGTAATCTTTCGTGAGTAATCTTTCATAAGATGACAGACAACGACTTTACGCCACCTCTTTTTCTTCTTTTCTATCCAACAAGGATACTGATGAACAATTAAAATTAAATTCTCTTTTCCTTTTTTTCTTAGTAAATCTAAATCAGAAACTTATGTTATGTAAATCTTGTGACAATAATTTAATCCCCAGTACCAATTACATAATGATTTACCTGATTGCACAATAAGGATGAGACAAGATACCAAAGTCAACGCGGATATAGCTTAGTGGTGAGCATGTATCTTTGGTTAAAAAGGTCTACTGAAAGGTAACTGGATTGCCAGGTTAAAACATTCAATATCAAGTGGTTGTAATTAATGTTTGCAATTATTTCTACGACAAGAGCACCGTTGTGTTTATTGAAATAAACAATGTTGCATATATTCACTTGTTCCAGAAGACAACGGTGTGTTGACGTGTACATGTTGTTTGATTAATGCATGACAAAATACGCAGCCATATAACTGGGTCGATATAACTAGCACAATGATAAATAATATATTCGATGATAGCCAGTAAATAATCATAATGTCCTTTTGTTCATTTAAAATTGATGAGAGTCATGGTTAGTTATTCCCTTCAATATTATAATTTTATGCATGCTGTATACAAACAAGAATTGAACAACAGCGTCATCAAATGTAATGCCAATGATATGCCTCCGATCAAAATAGAAATGGATGTTTTCTGATCAGGTGAACTTATTGAACAACCTGGTATTTGTTTTTTCAAACTTCAATACCCTGACATCATGACGATATAATCATTACCTATTTCAATAAACAAATTGGCTCTACGCATAGTCAAGGGTAGAGTATGTGCAAATATGGCGTAGGTCTGTAGCCAGTTTTTGCAAAGTAGGGTTCACTTTTCACAAAATTCCAAGGGTGGTTCACATTTAACAATTTAGCCCAAAATCACTTAAAACTTGCTCAGAATGGTGGAAAACTGCATGATTTTGGGATCGCCCGAACCCATCCTGGCTACGGTCCTGAACTTTTAAAGAAATCACAAGACCATAAGATATTTCGAATACTACAGGACACTCAGAAGAAAATTCAAAATAGACACAGATTCAGCCACTTACAGTCTCCATGTGTTATGATCATAGACTAATCAAGTAATAGGTTATGATTTTAAAAAGCTTTACTCATAATTAACAAGCGACATTATTGGTATAAATGACGGTGTCAGTTACCATAGTATGACAGCAACAACAGCTGGGATATAGACTTCACATTTACCCTTTATAGATTAAGCCAACAACTTTTAAATTGGACCCCTTCGACAATTCCCTTCATGCCCCGAAAGGATTTTATTTGAAGTTTGCGTGGTTGGTAATCCTTAATATTAATCGAGGCCTTGATGTACTTTCCTTCATTGTTTAGGTAATGTTTTAAATTGATAATGGAGTTAATCAAGATTTTACGTAAGGGACTTCTTGTTTATGTTAACCACCGTGACTATAACATAGCCGCATTTTAATGCTCACCAACTGGTGTGAGTTCGTATATTTGTTTAACTTGTTTAATACCCTTTGCATTCGTTAAACTTCACTTCTTAAAAGAGAGCTTCGTCTTCGATAGTTTATAACTAGACTCTGCTCGCAGGGTACTTGTTTAATCTTAAAAATACTGATATGAGATGATGTAGTGATGTATATCATGGGCCTCTCTTTTGCTTTTTAAATAACATAAAGAATTAACATTTAATAAAACGTTTATATATGGATGTTTTTAGTTTTATTTGCGATGAACCACCACGTCTTATCATCCGCATTCAAATGGAGTGATATAGCGATGTAGAATCCTACCAATATAAGCGCATAGTTGTAATATATATAATTGAGCCTTCCACTCGAGTGGGAAAAATTTTAAGAATATCTGTATACTTTCGAAAAGTGAAAATATATCTCTGGATTCATCTGATTTAAGTATTTGGTCTGTTCTTTTGATCTAGACTGAGGTGAAAATATGCCAATCTGGAAATTTTTAGGCCCTCATATCGTCTAATACAATTATTTATTGTCCATAAATAAAAGATTTTCATACAGAGTGACAGCTGATTCGGGTAGATTACGATGAGTGAAGATACTTATATCACTTTAATCAAACACGGTAAACAGATACTTAAATGCGTTATATGGGAGAGTTCCGATATAGGGGTCATTTTAGAGGGAATAATTTACAGTTAAAAAAACATGAACCCTTTAAAGAAGTCATTATTTTGAATAAATGATTTGAAAAAATGATTTTCCCGATACCTCTACTTATCAAAGCTATAGACAGATATATGAGGTGATGAGCTGTGTACTATAGACTTTTCTAATAAACTCACTGGCCCCTTTTCTCGTGAGCCAAGGAACTGAAACTACATGTAGGGTACAAAGTCAAGATAAATGGTTGTATGATTGTAAAAACAAGTTATCACAATATCAAAAATTATAACAACAAAACGTGACATAATTTACTAGATTGGTGGTCCACACCCCTTGTGAGAAATAGAAGTACCGGAGTTTCTCGCTTATGAGTCCGCTGTGCGTCCCAATTTTGTTAATTAAGAGGCCCTAAGAAAAAACGCCCATTGACCTTTAAAAAGCGGGAAATACCCTTTTCACACACACCTCCTTTGAACAAACGTCCATGGGTTTATTAGCGAGAACCTCCGGTAAGCTTACTACTACTTTCCCTTATAGGTCTATGGATTTGTCTATTAAACTCACTCATCCATTCCGGACTCACATTCTTGTTAAGAGGCTTAAGATGCTACTTCTTTACTGTAGTCATGATAGCCCTGTACACCGGAATTACTTTGATGTTATCACGATTGTGTGCTTTCCAGCAGTCGACGTTTCTAGATCAGCTTTGTCAACTACATCCTGATTGATGCCCACTTACAGATACCCATCTTCACTGATGTTATTAATGCCAGTGTCGTCTCTTTGGATGAGTATAAGAATGTTCCGTATTGGCAATGTTGAAAATTAGGTCTTGCCCCTATGCATTTCCAATAGTATATGCGATAACCGGTTTTGATCCTGGGCTCTTTCATCAAATATCTAACATCAATTTCCCCACTAATCTCACCTTTTGGGAACCAAGGTGTATATGCAAATATGTGTGATCCTTTGTTTAAATAGATACAATAATTTCTTAAAATTCAAATCAAGCTATGAAATGCATGGGAACTTTTGAAGGTGGCTGATAGAAGATATATAGAAAGTTATTCGCTCACTTTTCACTTTTAAAAATCAGAAAATGAAACTTATTGGTTTTCATCGCCACTGACAACGACGTTATATGTTTAGGACCTATTCCATGCGATTCCACTTTGTCGCGCCTTGTCAACTGGTCAAAACAAATCACGAGCTCGCTTAATGAAAATCTTTACAGAAGACCTCCTGTGACGATGGTTTCATATATTGCTCTGATTTCACGTGGAAGATGCTGGGGGAAAGTTTACTTTTGTCATCACATCAGATTGGTTTGTCTATTGTCAACAGTGCGGCTTAATGCCTGATTATATAGACCGAGATGACTGATAGCTTTTGAAGCCGATTAGCGCAAACAATGGATACTTTTACGGTAAAATACCATAAAATCTTTTTCTAATATCTTCCTTATCCACTATTATGACTTCATTTATCTCAGGTATAGAAACAAGAAGCTACAAAAGTGACTATAAAGGTCTCTATGAATAGAGAAATTAATTAACAAAGTAGGGGTTAGCAAGTCGGTCTTTTAAAGTGCTGTCTTAACCAGGATGATCATGGTGATAAAAAGATTTTCAAATGCTGTGAAAAACATAGGCCTATCGATCCCATGATGGGTCCCAGTATGGTGATGTAAAATGACGATCCACACGAGAAGTTTGGTCAATGTATACTATAACGGATGAATCCCAAGAGATGCTCTATATTCTGCTATTGTTCCCTTAAAGCGGCATGGGAATGAATAATTTATTCACCCCAATCACGTGATCTTTCCGAGTTGTAGTTAACATATCTCCCCAAGAATTGGATTGACAATGATCACCCGAATGGATCACTTATAAACAACTCGTAGCTTTAATTACGTAATAAAATATAAAAAACATCGTTTGAACAAGATACAATTATTTTGGACTTTGTGGATGTTATTTTTATACAGTGACTGAAAATGAGCAAGCAAATAGTAGGAAGAGAACGTGAGAGAATTCCACTGGGTCAGAATTCGAACTATCAAAATGTTGAGAATAATAATTGCAATTCGCCCCCCAGTGCTCAGGAACTGAGTGAAATGATCGCCAGGAATAAATATATTGAAGGTAAGAAAAAACTAATTAATTATGAACCTACCATGCGATCTGTCTGCGTTGTGAAATGTTCTTAAATTTTCTTCCCTCTTATCGCGTTGGGACAATTGAGAGCGATTTTAATGGAATTATCAATTATGAAGCATCTTAATTGAGATTGAATATATGCAACAATTTTTGATCGATTTAGTTTTTATTTTTATATTCGCGCGGATTATTGATGTTTTCTAAAACTTTATAATTGCATGATTGTAACGTTGCCGCAATAATAAATAACATACACTGTAATTAGAAGGTAAATAAAATATTTTAAATGATGATATTAATCACTTAATTATAGTGAAACATAATATGGTTAGTTTGCCAACATGTGGTGAATTGATAGAGTCAGGTCAGAGGTGGGTCTTCGAACGGGAATTAACGTCCACCCGGGACAGCTAGCGACTTGCGCGTCAACCATACCCGTTACTTCGACATATGCGTGCCCAAAGGCACTTTGTGGCCACGTTCAACCATGGTCAACTATTTTTCAACATCACATAATTTAGCGGAATTATATGAACAAAAATACATGATTTTGCACAACTGCGTGGAAATCATATGCATATATCAACCTTCTTAGAAAGTCCTAGCTAGGATGAAGAAATTTGTCCTAGTAGTTCTTGTCATTCAAAATATCTATAGGGAATAAATTAAAAGTCAGAGGCTATAGTTAAACTACACGCAATTTGAATTCGGATTACACAAAGTCTAGTTAAATTATTGATGTGAACACGTCGCTATGTATTATTTCTTAAGAAACTGAATAAATATGTATATACATTATTTATCATTTGAAAAATGACTTCACTTTGATGTATATCGGTACACATTCTTGAAGTAGATCAAAAATAAGGTAGATAAACACTCCACTCATCAAATACATGTACAGACCCTCGAAAATATCAACCAGTAATTTCTACAATACCTTAATTCATTTTTGTATATTTAATATAGGATTTATGATTTTTACATTTATAATTTATAAACTTTCAATTAGTAAGCCAGAGCAACTCTGTAAGCATTGATGCGAAACCGCATTAACATCGTGAAATTCTAAACAGAATCTACAAACACGATTCGCTATTGTTCGCAATCGCGAGAATATTAAAGTTCTGAAAACCGAAGCGGAATTTACTGCTATTAATAATAGCAATTAGTTCCTTCCTCTAGTCAATATTGTAAATTATTTAACTGGTCTTTCATTGAAGACCCAAGAGGCTTTGCATCAATAGATCTGACAATAGTAACTCGGGTATTGTTTGGCATTCAGAACCCTGTGAGTAGGTATTCTCTCTTTCTAAACCAATGTATGCAATAAGCCCTCATGACTCTTCACCCTAACACAATTGAAGGATTATATCCCTTCCCGTGACTTCTGCTAATCTGATAATGTACGTCTTCAGTTAAAGGATTCGCAACAGTTTATTTTATGGTAATACTGACGCCATCAAACATTAATCATATTTTACTCTCGTGATCGGTGTCTTTAAAAGAAAAAATTGAACTGATCTTATGCTAGAATGTTACAATGCTCTTTGCAGAATATATTCAAGTTGCTGCAAAATTCTCGTTTTATCTTCTCTAACCTTGGTGAAAATATCCCATTTTCATGATTTATCACATTTTCAAATGGGTGCCAATAGAATATTTTCAGAATCTCATGATGTGGGTGCAGCGTTAGTTGCTTCATTGTGCGTAACGTTATTGGTGACAAGAACAAATATACTCGTCATGGTCTACCAAGACTATACTCGTGATATTTATATTTAAAAGTGTAATATCAACTTAATCTTATATAATTTTACTGAGGACCAGGAAGGTCTTTAAAAATAAAACAAGTCTATAATGTTTGGGTAAACGCGTTGCCACAACCAGTGCCAAACAGTATCAACATCGCAAAAAGCAGAGTGGCATTAACAGAAACGTCCTGAAATCAATAATTTCGAAAGTTTGATTTGTTGTTTCACTATGACGCCAATATGTTTTGGGAATTCTTAGTTTTACAAATTTCTGACAAATCGACTAATCGGCAAATTCTGAAGCAGCATCCAATTCCTGAATATTGCTCAAGGTCCACAATTTTATGCCGTTTGCAATTGGTATATGGGGATGCTTTTGCACATGTATGTTGTGACCATCACAATGTATATGTATATATTGGAAGAAACACGTAGATGCTAGATGATATAAATTCATTATTTGTCTCTGATTACGCTTATTCATGATGTCGTGTCAACAGAAGCAATGACAACGGCGTTTGTCATACTCCTCCACGAGACCTATAAATAAACATCAACATAAATCATGAAATTACCTTGGTGAGGATCGTTTTCCATCTGGCATAATCCTACTTGATAATCTTATTTTGATAACTTTATTTTAATTACACAACACCACTATAAATCACCTGGTTGGATATTTTGTACGTTATCATACGTATAATATGTACAATCCTGAATCAGATGGTGTGATTGAATGGCAAAATAACGAACAGTTATACTTTTATGTAGTAAAATTTTAGAAAAAGTGCAGTATATACTTGACGGTCTACCCCAGTTGATGTATTGGAAAGATAAAATTATCTCTTCCAAATATGCATTCTGCACTCTCGTAAGTCTGAATTTAATCATGTTCAGTAAACAAAACTAGATTCTGAAAACATGGGATCGTTGACATGATGCACTGATTGGTTCTTGCAGACCACTCTGTGGTGTCCATAAAATCCCACGCCAATATTGGATACAGTCCATTGCCTGCACGAGATTTCCTTTTTATTGAAAAAATATATAAATATCATGAATGTGATCGTAACATTGCATGTGAACTTGTCGATCTAGGCACATGCCTTGAGAAAATACTAAAACAATTTTGACAATTTCGTAGGGAGATTCCCTGATTAGTTTTCTCCAAGACTAGAGTAATCGGATTAAAAACTCTAAGTAAGATAGATATCATGGCTGCTTTTATTTTGCTCCTTTCTATGAAAGAACGACATCTTACACAAACGCGTGTCACCAGATTTCAATGAGAGCCCTAGTGATAACTTCTAAATACATTACATTAAACGCTTGGACACATGTTTAACCTCAATAGTAAGACTTATACACCATTTGAGGCAAACTTTCACTTAAGATGACAAACTCTCCGAAGCGTTGGTTCTGTGGTTTTTAGTCGTAGATTCTTATAAAACGTTCAGATATCATCGTAAGGGAACCCAACGTGAAATTTCTAGTGACACTAGATGTAATCATCCTAACCACGGGGGACTTGTGATTGTCAATGGTTTTGACTTTAACTCAGGTGTTTTACCTAATACTACATCTAATTTAATTTGAACTGAAGCCAAATTTTGTTATATTTCATTTGGTGGTGTTTATAGTTCTTCCTTTGGGATGAAATTGTATATAATCCGTGTCGTCTGCTGTACTAAAATTGAACAAAATCTCAGCTTTGATGAATATTCCAAGAATCTGAACCGTTTAATGGTCTATGTCTTTAAACCCGTGTATACAATGTAGTATACTAAAAATAAGGAACAAATTACAATAAAACTTAAAATGAAAATGACAACACAAGCAGAACACATACAGCTTTACCAGTTTTTATTCTAGTAGCAGGCCATGCATTCTTGTGTCATATGAACATTTATAAAGGTCGAACATTTGCACTGTCGTTTGACATGTCTAGAATTTTGCAATAGTAAATTCATTAGACGATGAACATAAAAATTCTAACCTTTCAAAATTTTGTCCCATATGCGATATATTTTACAATAAAGGTCGTAATACTTTACAATAAAGTGCATGTATTAAGAGTCGAAAGCGTTATAATGATCTTTTAATAGCTAGGGCCACTTACTCTAAGGGTAAGGGGACATAACAGGGCTCTGTTATAATAGCGTTACAGCCAGATAATTAGCTTTAGATGATAATTCGTCTGGTAATCACTATAATTTAGAGTCTTGTTATTATGGGAAATTATAATCTAGTTAACAAAACCTCACAATCAATGGAAGTGGACACCTTGCGCCTAATGGTTACCGTTTCCTAATATATCTTTATTGTGAATATATGTTTCCAAAAGCATGTGACTTCTTTTCAGTTCATTCTTAAAACCTCATATAGGTTTTATAAATGCTTGAAATTCTTTATTCCAATTTGTTTGCGTTTCATCGATGATGTCAGTCCGTCTTATAAAATGGATGCTTTTGGTTGTTATACTACCAACTGCCGTTGTGCACAATCATTTCTAGGTTTAAAACACTAAAACTTTTATTTCTATAAATGGTCTTAAAACGTACTGCATTTAATTATTTTATATCAATTTAGCTCTACGCCTTCTTTCCAAAATTTTATGTCAGTTGAACATCTTAAGAAAAAGTGTCTTCGTCAATACATAAAAAACAAAGAAAGACAAATAGCAGTTAATAGGTATATAAGATAATATAGCATATAACTTTCTACCATACCTACCATGGAGAATCATTGGAAAGTATTCCATGGCGCGCGGCATCTCGATTTTCACCTGAAAAATCTATAAATGAGTTTAGAAAGGAATAAGATGTTCACTAAGAGGATTACGTTCCGACGTGAACTGCTTATCGTATTCAAGGAGGTTTTTTCAACCTAGTACTGTGATAAGATGATGTGAAAACATGTTCAAGATCTGTAAACCCTGTGTATGTACTTATATAATGTGCTAGTGGCAGCAGGAGGTAAATATGATGAGTATCTTATGATTGTTCCAAATGTGCATATGATTGGTTGGTGATGCATTATTTTGTTATCCAAATTGATGCGGTATAACTTGAAACTATTTTAAATGTTGGCGTAAAGGGTCGCGAGACCCGGATTTAATCAGTTAATGTGCTGAAGCTCTCTGTAACTAACTCCTAGCGATGATTGAAGAGACTGAGAGAATGTTAAAATGATGCAGTAACCATGTAATGGATTATCATTATGAGTTCTTTA